ACCAGATCGAACCATTCACCATCAACCCAGTTTAAATGAACTGGACAAATGTATTTTCCTGTGAAAAGCTGCAAATGGAAACGTTTCCTCTCTGAACTGTTGATGTGAGCCGAAGATGAACAGCTGACATTTGATGAACGAAGAAAAACGGCTCGAATGTGTAGAAGAAGCAGAAACAAGCTGAAATTAGCAAAGAGGCTAAAAGGAGCATAACAAATTAAATTTTTAGAAAGAAGCAGAAAAGTTTAAAGTTAGCTCCAAAAATGCAGAAAAAGGAAAAATTATCAGAAAAATATCTTTAAAAGAAGCTGAAATGACAAAACTTTAGCAGAAAGAAGCTAAAACAGCTGAAATGAGCAGTAACGGGCTGTAAACAACTCCGACGGTTTGAAGGTTGATTTATAAAGAACAGCAGCGACGGGCTGATGTGGAAAATCGATTTCAGTGAGAAAACATGGCCGACAACGCTGAACGTTTACAAAACCCAGAATGTCCCGAACGAGCCGAACGTTTTGAGACATGAAATGTTGCAACGGCTCAAAACTACTGAACAGGTTAGGTGCTGAAAAATGTACGGAAGAAAACCGGATGTCAGTGATGAGAAACATTCAGAAGGATTCGTTCAAGGACGTTCAAGGACGTTCAAGTTGTTTATTGTTATTTGCATCACATGTGGCGCATGAGGTGGAACAAAATGATGTTCTCAGGGTCCCAGTTACATCCAAAATACAAAGTATAAAAAGAAACGGTAAATAAGGCTCTAAGATATAAACTGAACACTAAGTCAGAGATGCAACAACCCAAAGACGGAGTTGTGTTTCTGCTCAGCATAGTTTTAACGCCAGTTTTTAACTTTCTGTGTCTGAAGGTGCCAGCCCAACGAGCTCCCCCGGACTGGGCCTGGACTCGTCAGGTAGGCGAGTCGACTCACCTGCTGTCGTGTCTTCTCTCATTTTACTGCTCTGGGGTCAGTGTGGCCTCAAGCTTCTTTTGTTCTTCATTTTTATCACAACCTGCAGGAAAAATAAAAACTTGTGGTTAAATTTGATTTCACGTGCGCTCAAACTGTCCGGTTGTGTTTTTACCTGGTGATGGATATTTATTAGTGATTGTGAGTTAATCATATCTTCTGTTTCAATAAGTGGTGGTTTCAAGGGTAGTTGCAGTTTTGACAGGAACATTTGATCTTTGACTTTAAATAACGAGTTCAAACAGGAAGTTCAGTCAAACCAGATTTCTGCTGGAAGCAAAAGGTCGGCTTGTAGTAGCGTTTGCAGCGATGGGCACAGATCATCACAAACCACTACGTCACTAACTAAAAATTAGTTTCGCTAACTCTAAATCTCCAAACAGATTTTTAAAAATTAGCAGAAGATAACGCTAACGCGCTAACTTTTATCACCCGCTGCTGTCACTGTGACGCTGTCAGCGAACGCAACTCACAGCGGTTCATGAATCACAGGTAAAGGGTCCATGTTCTGTTCAGAGGTGAGCTCAAATAAACATCTGGTCCATCAGGACCAAAGAGGCAGAACAGAACTCTGCTGTGCTGAAGCAGAGTGATGCATTCAATGTGCGTCGGACGTCTCCCTCCTGTCATTTACTAAAATTAATTAAGTCACTTTAACGATTTGTATTTAACAACTTAAACTAACTACACAGTTGTTGTGTCATCATCAATATTCTCTCAGTATTAAATCTGTCTTAAAGTAAAGATGTGTGAAATGTGTGAGAGAGTCACGTCCCAGAGACAGTGTGAGTGTTGCAAAGCATGCTGGGTAGGAGTTATGTGCAATGTTTCTGAGTGTGAAAATGGTTTTTCATGTTATTCTTTTGTTTCATGTTAAAGTTTGTTATTGGCTGAAAACTGACGCCACGAGTCAGAGACATGAGCGGGAAAAGCGCTGAGAGGGTTTGAACATCCCCGGGTGATGGCGTAGCGTAGCATAGCATAACGTAGCGTAGCATCGCGTAGCATAGCATAGCGTAGCGTAGCATCGCGTAGCATAGCGTAGCATAGCGTAGCGTAGCATCGCTACGTGTAAATCTTCATTGTCCTGTGTGCTTTTAGTGAAGAGAACTGTATTAAAAATATGTCAGACTTGAATTTAGCAGGAGCTAATTCCATTAATCCAGTTGATCCAGACCACTTCAAGGGTTTTCAGGACCGTATAATGATTATGGACTGGGTCAGAACCAGGACGCTCCAAGCTGCTTGTTTGATCTCACTGTTGGTTTTTAGAAAACGTCACCTTCATCGTGTTTTCCTGCAGCATTTTGTATCTTATTCATCATCATCATCATCTTCTGCATCTTTCTCTGTTTTTATCCAAACTCCTCCCTCAACCAGCTGTTTCCTCCCCCATCACCTCATCCCCCGACTCCACTAACACCAGCCATGATACTAATGCCATCACTCACGGTAAGCCATCCTCATCCTCACCACCCCTCCTCTTCATCATGCAGCCTCCATCTCTTCATCTCAAGCTTCTTGTCTCCTGCACGTTCAACATGTTTTCATTTTATTCCTCCTCCACGTTTGGTTTCCACCTGCCGACGTTTGCAGATGACGCTGATGTGTAGTGAGAGTAGGGAGCAGGTGGAAGCGAGCCTGGAGAGATGGACATCTGCATTAAAAGTCATTCAGTCGTTTTAGCAGAACTTTAGGCCTTACGTTGTGTTAAAAAGCAGTCAAGTTGAATCTTAGTGGCACTAATTATTTTTCCATTACTTAAACTGACTGATCAAGAACGTATCGGAGTCACATGCTGAGTGTTTGTTGGTCTGTTGGTGTGCAGTTGTCAGAAGATCACAAATCATAGGAAAAACCTGAAAAGGGTGGAGTTTATCATGGTTTGAGATCTGCTGAGGACCACCGTGCAGACGGAGCAGCAGAGAAGATCCAGGTGTCAGATGTTTGGTTGGAAAACACAAACCGTTCACAACAACCGTCATTTCACACAGTTTGAACCAGAGTGGCTCGTGACTCAGACTTTGGTGCAACCGTGAGACAGACTGGGTGTGGCGCTAACGCAGCGTGTGACTAACCTGCTGCTTTGTTCTACTAACCAGCTAACGGCCCCGCCCTCAGCAGCCCTGCTCCGCCTTCACCTGCTCACGTGTCTTCAGCCAGCAGCTCACCTCATGGTAAGGTGGACCTCTTCTTCACCTGGTCTGCTCGTACTCATCGGGTCGTCACTTCTGACTAAAACTGAAACTAGAAATAATTATTACTATGATGTTAACCCTCAGATGTCCATAACTTTATGACCGGGGGGGGGGGGTGCAGAGGTTAGAGAAGGTGAGCCTGTGATTGGAAGGTTGCTGGTTCAACTTCCCAGTCCAACATCAAAAATGTGGGTGGGAAAGGTGAAGCAGCCACACCTGCCTCCACCCTCATTTGTCCCACTCTGGGCCCTTGAGCAAGGCCCTTAACCCCCACCATCTGCTCCCCCGGGCGTCCTGATGGCAGCTCTGCTCCACACAGAGGCTGTGGTTGATCAGGAAGGACCTCCTGCGTAAAAACCATCACTAAGACTCTGTGTGAGATGGTTCACTGTGGTGACCCTGAAGAAGGAGCAGCCAAAAGAAGAAGAAAAACTATATATATAT